CTCATTCATGCTTCATTATGTTTAGGCAAGCTGGAACAGAAAGAACTGGAAGAAAATTATTCTAATAATGAAAAAATGCCATTCGTTTGATCCCTGCAAGCCTCTCTTTATTGGGTTTGGAATCTTACCATTGCCCTGCCTATTTATTTACGAATTTGTAATATTTGTCAAAACTGACTTACTTAATGATGGTAACATATTTTCATGCAATACCCATATTTTTAATTACAACACACATTGTAGAAATCATGTTCATTAAGTGTCAGTATCAACAGCTCAAAAATCCACATACAATACTTGTATGTTACTTCACAGAACATTGCCAGTTGACATTAAATAATTGAAGACTGTACACAAATTTAAGTTAAAAGTAAAATCTTTTCTGCTGTGTAACTTTCTGTGTAATTAGAGACTATGCTGATCATCAAAAGGAAAAAATGTTTATTTTAACAAAACGGTTATATATAATAAATTAGTTTACATTTGTATTATATATTTTTTTTTAAAAGACCTAATATGCTTGTAACAAATAATGTACTTCAGCTTCTGAGTAAATGAACCCCATCTTGATCAGGTTTTTGTCCAGGTTCCCTGATACATTGAGCAAATGCTGAGATGGCCCCTTGTTTTGCTTCTAGACGTAAATGTAGCTTCATCATTCGCATGTTTTGTTGAACTCTTTTTTTGGTTGGAGTGGAGGTAAGGGCGAGTTACTATTTTGTTAGCAATGCAGGACATTCAAATCTGTAGTTTGTTTGCATATACGTTTTCTATGACTCGGGAATGCAAATGTGTAGTTTTTTCAAATATTGCTAATCTCGCGCTTCTTTAAATTTTATTTTTATTTATTTACTTATTTATTTTAAACTTTTACCCATCTTTCAACTATTTATAGTTAAAATGATGAGAAGGGATTCTAGAACTCAAGAAGACGTGCACAGATGAACTTCTACCCCATACGTCACATACAGTTTTTATTGTTTTTTTGCCTAAATAAATTTAAATCTAATCTAAATATAAATCTAACAGTGTGAGCTCAACAGTATTTGACACATCATACAGTCCATCATTCCAATGCATTGGGTACATATTACACATCTAGAACAGTCAAAATGTAAGATATCTTTAAGTGATTCTATATGAACTTGTTTTAGCATTTCCCTGTTATAAGAGTTATCACCAGTAAGTGAGAAACGTCTGCCTGTGGATGTCTCATGTATGGGGTTCTACTGTACGTTTGCACGATTTGACATGTCTTCAAAGCTTTTAATGCTAGACAGAGAAACTTATCATATTTTGAACCAAAGAGAGCAGTCAAAACATCTTCAAAGTATTTATTCTGCCAATTTTCATTTTTTTGATATCGGGGATAAAATTATGTCATATATTTGTGATGTGAGAAGGCACTTTTTTATTTGTTTCTATTTACTTGTCATCTTCATTTCCAGCATTTAACCTAACAATTTTTTTAAGCCCCTACCCTTCCTGCCCAAAATATTTCTGCATTTTGAATAAATGTAGTTTCAGTTCTGTTGCTCAAAAATATATTGTGCTTAATTACATTGAGCTGCTTTAGAAAATTTGCTTTGCTTTGCTTTCCTTAGTTTGTGAGACATCATGTTGCAACAAGCTGTACTCTCTGTAAAATTGGTTCATGCAATTTTTTTGTCCAAGCCCAATTTTTTTTTTTTGATTTGGAACCAATGTTTTTGTTTTGTTTTAGATTCATGAGAAAGTCTTGCTAAGCCTAAATGTAATGCTTTTTAAGGTTGTAAAATAGTTACTTTTTAGTTATTTCTAAAATAACTAAGGTGAAAATTTTTTAAAAGATATCACACTTTTTTTTTGCAATGAAACTGTCAAAGTAGTTTTGACAATTTTTCATCTTTAGCAAAACTTCATTGAACAATTTGTCCATGTAGATTTGTTTTTCTCTTTCTCTAGAATTTACACAAGGCTTATCTTCTTCTTTTCTGTAATCATAGATAATGGTGCGTAAGTGAAATTTTCTGGTGTGATATTGTAACCTTATGAAAATACAGACATGAAATGCATTACCACTCTCTGCTCTTTTTCTTGAGATTCACTCCTAAGACAGAGAATTCTGTTTACAATATTCAATTTCATGAGGCATGCAAAAGACTTTCACTGATTATGAATATTGAATGGCCTCTACTGAAGGCTATGGTGGGACATGCTGGAAATATCATAGTTTAATGAACTTCTTCTAAAACATTAAATAAAAGGATTGAAGTGTGAAAAATTGTCGAAAAAAAAATAATTTTTTTGATTACAAGGTTATCTACAGCTTTTCAGCCATTCTTAATGCGTCAAATTTTAATATCCTCTTGTATGTCAGTGATTTTAGGTTGTTTGGAAATTTTGTCTAAAGACATCACAAAACATTTCATATTTATAATGCTAGAAAACATCTACACAATGTGGTGAGATTATCTGGAAAATCTTTTGTCTCCTAATTGTTAATGTTCTCTATCTTTGCATTCTTTGCTGAAAAGGTGGAAATCATTTTTCCAAGTATCAAACTTCTTGGAGATGTTCAATCATCTGATCTGAGGAGATGGAATTAATATGATCTGGGATATTGAGGAAATGCTGTCAGCCAACATTTTGTCTGACAAACTGCTGCTGTCAGCGATGTGATAGGCATGCAGAGTTTGTTGTAGCTTTTGCAACATTCCTTTGGAATCTTGGGCAGCTAAATTCAGATTTCAGTAATTAACGTAGAAGTCTTTCCTTACTGATAAAAATCAGTCATATTTCATTAGAATGGATTGAACCTTTGCACTGTACACAGTCATTTTTTCTTCTGAATCACAGAAATAATTTCTCTTGCTATTCGTTCCTCCTTTGTGTTTGAAGGAACTATCGAAGTCAAAGGGCACAGATTTTAAGATACTACCAACACACTGACGTAATCTCTAACTTGGCATGTATCTGAACATTACATTAACCTTCGATTCTCGGTTATCTATCAAAGAGGTTCTCACTAAAGTATCTGTGGATTAGCCAATACAAGGCTATACAAAGCACCCATATCAATTATACTAATAAAATTCTAAATATTCACATTTTATGTTTGCATGTAAATTTTAAATCAATTGAAAACAACTTCAGACAAGATGAAAACTATTCATTCATGTCATTCTTCATGCTGTATTTTCAAAAAGAAGCTTATCACACAGATGTGTACAAGGAAAGTTCAAAGGAATGTTTAAATCATTTAAATTTTTGAGAAAGTAATCCTTCTGTGTATTTAACTTGAACTTCTTGTCACAGGATGATTCCTCTTCATCTTCTTGTTCATTGCCTACCATGACTAGACACTCTTATATTCGCCGTCTGCTAAAAAAAAAGATTAAAAAAGGATGTTTCAAAACACAGAGCCTTGATTCATTGAGTGACAAGTCAAAAGAGAAGAGATCAAAACTTAGTAGATCATTAAGTTTTTTATGCTTTGCTTCCTGTGCAACAAGCCGTCTTCACTAGATAAGTTGGAACAAAATTTTTAATGAGTGTTTTGTAAAGATATCAAGTTGTATTCAGAAATATTAGAACATCACAATTGCCATTCAGAAAACTAAAAGGAAAAATGTATTTTTATTTTTCATAAAATATATACCTAATTTTTATCTTTTGTTGATTGATTGTAACTATCTATTTTAAATGATAAAAGTGTACCTCTTTCACTTTTTCAGTTTCAGAAATTGTCTTCCAGCTGAAGATATTTTAACAATTCATAATACATGCTGTTGTTTGAATCACATATTTCTCCATAGAACAGTTCATCATTTGCAAGGAGAAGAATGTTCACGAGTGGACTAATGAGATGAACTCACAATTACTTTGAGGTGCCCTGTAATAAAACATGATAGATAGAATGATTAAGAAAATTGATCTATCTTGTGAAAACCAACTTAGACTTCTTGCATCCTTGAATAAAAAATCACAGCCATCATCAAAACAGACATCACTGATCGAATGAATTATTGGATAATAATGTTACTGATGTTTCGGCCTAGGTTATGTTGTGACCATCCCAACGTTATTGGGTAAGATTATTACCCAATAATGCAAATTCATTTGATTTGTGAAGTCTTTTTTGATGATCATGATTTATTACTCAATGTATGAATCAACAGATGTTAACATTATATTGATTCTTGCATCCATGATAGGATTCGAATTAGCTGTGTTGCTGAGAAACTAATGGGAATTTATCATTTATTTTAAATACTACTTGTGGCATTGAAATTAATTACACAGAATTTATATTCAGTATTTTTCCTTTCCAATTTTTGTAATATCTGATCAATTGTGTGTGAAATTGGTTGTATTAATGCATATTTCAGAGTTCTGTTGATATATTATAAATTTGAAATGAGTATATTATACATAGTAAATAGAAAAAATTAATAACTAATAAGAAAACCACAAATACCTTAAGGAATCTTGGCTGATATGGCATCTGCCACATCCAAGACAATGTTTCTGGCGTCATTTTGCAACTGTCAGAGCTAAGTGGCTGGAGGTGGGGCGTGCAACTCTGTCACCATAGCCATAAAGAAGATCACGACCAAGATTCCATAGATACTAAAGCCTATACCGTTAGAAAAACCTAAATCTTAAAGATGGTGCTCTTCTTCAAAATCTAGATTAGTTGGTTAAATTTGACCCCTTTTTTACTATTTAGTGCTGCATTGCAGTGTTGTTCAGTTGTGCAATATTCTGCAAATGTATACTTTATTTAACCACTTGCTACTTTTATAATCCCAGAAATTATTTTAACCACCTAAATATCAAATATATAGGAGGGTTTGTTCTCCTAAAAATTATTTATGAAGTTATAAATGTTAATTAATTTAATTTTGCTGTGAACACTTTGTTTCAAAAACACTTTTTAGAATTTTTTTATTTGTGGTTTCTTTTGCATGGCTTACAATTCTTTTGTTACATAATATTTTCTTTGCATTCACATTAAGTTTAGCAGATCTCAAACTGGGCAAGCTGGTTTCACTGCATGCAATGATGTGCATCTTGATGCTTTCAACTTGTATTTTCTGCATTTCTGGATACTACTTTGAATGTGAAGATTGTGCTTGAATTCTGATTTCAAGTAAGTGTAGTCTACTCTTTTTAGTTATATTTTAAATTGCAAATGTAATAACTTGTAAGGGAAAACACGCATTAATGCATAATTCATGTGACGCAAAGACATTCTTTGATTCACAAGAAGAATACTAGTTTATGTAAGAGACTCAATATTTACTTAAACAATACATTTAGTAGTACTTATCACTAAGCAATCTACATTTTTACTTGATTATTGAAAAGTGCACTGCTTATTTTCATTGAAACCTCTAGTACTTTAAGAATAGCAAAAGTTCAAATTTTTTTTGAAACTGTCTTACACTGTCAATACCAAAGCAAAATATATTTTCTAAATGCAACATATTTCCCAAAGTTAGGTCTTTATATCAATTCATGTTCACTTTTTCAAAATATTAATTGTCATTATGACTTTTTGGCAATTTACCACAAATATCAATCAAGATTTTCTCAAAAAACAACTCAACAAGGCAGAAATGTAATAAGAAAGAGAAAATAGACCTAATTCTTATATACACTGAGGGTGTCCTATTCTGCAATGTAAATACTTTTGTTTCCGATGCAGTGATATAAATCTGGTGTCCTGTTATATTTCCTTGATAATATAATACTGCACATGTGTGAGAGTATGAGTGACCCCACCTGCAGATGTGTGTGTACATGTACACACCTTCTCAGGTGTGCCTCCCATCCATCACACTTATTGTTTTCAACATTTATATCCCTCCAGGACAAATTTTGTCTGCCGGTCACTTCTTGTGCCTGATAAACTAACTGCCCACACCCTTCTTGATTGTCAGGGATTAAAAGACCTGTAGCCCACTTGTCTTGCCGTAATTCGCAGGGGGGTGCATTTTGGAATCGATCATCGTCATTTCTCACCTGGTTATTCTCATTTCAGATAAACCAACGCATTTCAAGACACTGTCCAACTCGTGCTCATCTATTGATGTAGCCCTTTGCAGTTTTTCACTTGTAACTGCTCTGCAATAGACCATGATAGAAAACCTGTATGGAAGTGACCCACCCATTTCCTCACTGTCATCCATGTTGATGCAATAGGTCAACGGGTGTGCTCGACCCTCTCAGTGGATTCTTCAACTCGTTGACAGGTCAATAAGGACCGTATGTGAGGTACAACTGTGAATGGATAGGGGCAGTGTGTCTCCTGTAAACAGATTGTCAAGGAATCGGCTTTGCATTGTTGCATCGGAAACAAAAATATTTAGATTCCAGAATAGGAGACCCACAGTGTATATAAGAATTAGCTGTATTTTCTCTTCTTACATTTCTGCCATTGTTAAAGATAAATTTCAAGTTTTTTTGGGGAAAAATCTTGTTTTGGTATTTGTAGGAAATAGTAAAAAATTCACAATTACAACTATTATTTTGGAAAAGTGAACGTGAATTGATATAAAGACCAAATTTTGAGAAATATGTTGCATTTAGAAAAAAATTTTGCTTCGGTATTGATGGTGCAAGACAGTTTCAAAAAAATTTGAATGTTTGCAATTTTTGAAATATCGGAGGTTCAATGAAAATCAGAAGTGCGCTTTCCTATATTCAAGTACAATTCTAGGTTGCTTAGTGATAAAAAAACATTGTCAATCAGGAATCCTCCAACCATGTCTATCAAAATCTCAATATTGGTTTTTTGAAGCACTATATAACTTTCTCTTCATACTAAAAACTTAAATATTTTCTTAAAGTTAAATATTTATGTTAATCCACATTGTGTCACAATGTGTACAATGTATAAATTTTCATTAGTAAACCTGAAATCCAGAAGGAAAACAACAACAACAAAAAACTTACATTTTGGATTAAATGTTTCAAAATGTTTGTTTTTTTAAATTTCCTCTTGTAAGTTTTCTATTTCGGAGTTACAAAGACTGCTAATTAAAGCATTGGTATGCCTATTACTAGCACTCCCTTCACATTTAACATTCTACATGAAGTATTTGAAAATCTTAAATGATTTTTTCTCACGTTGTTTACTAATATTGTTATGTACTATTTCAGTACTTTTTATTATCATTTTCATGTGAATTATTATTTTTTTCCTCAGACTGACCAGAAAACTTCCAGAATTTAAAATTATGAAAGAGAAAACAATGAGAGCTGTGAAATGATCTAGATTGTACATGAAGAATGTCCAAAAGATTCTGAATTCATATATTCATATATGTGATCACTCGTGAAAGGTAATATGTGTTCTTATTAATGAAGGTTTTGTGTGTAGTTATCATACTGCTGATGAAAATTTTAATTTTATTTTCTCTTCTTGGTAGTGGGTTTCGTGGGTTTCTTGAAAAACATGTTTCTGAGCCTATGTTACAAGATGAAAATTTAATGGATAGCTTGCAGCACTATATGAAGATAAAAAACTTAAAATCAATAAAAGTTTTAATTTTTTGTGAATAAGTACAAGATTTCTTCAGTTTAAGTATGTGACAAATGGAGGACACTATCTTCTCATGTTTTCTGTAGAGAAGGAAAAGCACCTTTTCTTCACAAGTAAGAAAGGAGATACTGTGCAATACATCTTTGTAACATGGCTAATGTCCTCTTTATTTGGAAACATACATTGTAGCTGTATTCAATGATTTGTGAATGGAATTGTACATGATATATTTTCGTAATGTGATGAAGAGTATGTGTAATGTAAATTTATGAATACATTGTAATATGGTGTAATAGACATTTATGTGTTTCATCTCAATCTGCCTTGAGCATTTTATGTACTTAATTCATCATAGTTCTTTGTGCCAGGGGAGTTTTTTTTTTATAGATGTGATCTAAAAATAAAACTAGTGGTGCTATAACACCACATACTCCAATGAAAATGGTACCTCCACCAATTTTTAAAGCATCCTTTGCTCAGTCTGATAAAAAAAAGATAGAGTGGTTTCTAAGATTTTTTTTTTTTTGTATTAAAAATCCTGTCAAGGTGGATTGGTTCCACGTCCTACTGGGGAGATACAGAGAAGGCTCTTTTGTGTTCCTTTTCCCATCTTCATATTCTTGCTTTTCATTTCATACGTCACCTACATTCTTTTAGCCCCCCATTTCTTCCTCGCTGACCTTCTCTGTAAGCTGAACGCCCTCTCATGTGTTTGCCGTGCATGACAAACTGCGTCGAAGGGAATGAGTGACCTGAGGGGTTGAAGGGTGTGTGTATGCATTCCTGACTGTCGTCTTGACACTGGTTTCTTGTGGGTAGACCCGTTCTAGCCATGTTCGTTGTGTGAACCCCAGAGAAGAAAAGTTTCACAGCGTCTTCGAGCTGTTTAAATACACTGATGTAACACCACGGGATAACATTTTCCCTCCGTCAGTATCTGGTGATGTAACCAATCAAGTTATGAAACGTGCTAATTACAAACTAATGACTGTTATAAAAACAGTGGATACGTTATTCATTGAATCAAATATAACTGACAATCAGGAAGATTTCTTCTATTTTGTCTACAAGTTCTACTAGACGTAATCTACCCCCAAGGATTCAGCGTGTACAGTATCAAGAGGAAAGAGAATGGGAGAGAGATCTCTACCCTTATTCTAATGTTCAATCTCCCATCCTTTCCAGAAAGGATCTCTTTCTGTATTTTAATACTCGCGTGCTGCATTATGTAGTACCTAATCCTTTGTACAGTTTCAAAGGCCAAACTATACAGCTGTACGCACGGAAGTGTGTGGCAGAGCGCTTATTACACGCAGGTTGCGGCACTTCGTGCACATTCGAGAACCCTTAGCTATAACGTTTACACTAAATTGGGGTTCTCATTTGCCGTAATTGTACTTTAACTACACTGTAGACAAATCTATTCATTGACAGTATTTTTAAGCCTTCACTATTTTTTGTTACTTCAACTCCACATGTGGCCATCGGTTCACGATTTCTTACTACCTTTGTAAGGGAAGTGTTAATTTTGGACGTAATTCTATGTATGATTTCGGGACTAGTGTTGTTTAGAGGCGGGCGGGCGGGCGGACGTTTTGGAGGAAAGAAAAAAAAAGTCGTAATTGTGGTAGGTATTCCGAAACGTGTATTTCCGTCAAAATCTCGACAACAATTTTCCGCAACAGTTAAAAACTTCCTCAATACTCCATATATACTACCCATGTATAACAGTAAAACTACAAATTCGGAAAAAAATAAATAAAATAAGATAAAAAAAATACAATTTTGAAGGTTATGATCTATTATCTTTGAGGCCTTCAAACCCATACTCATGCTGAAGTAAGTATTGTCAACATCAGGAAACAATGATCACCCTTTCTGCCAAATCATTTGACACTTAACACCTTTCAAGATACTATGCCTGGGGGTTTATCAATGCATTCTGTTGACATCAATTTGAAGTCGAAGGTGCATAAGGACATAGTGTATTTGGGTGGATGGTTTATAGCACTCTTCTTAGGAAAAAACTAAAAAACAGCATAAAAATGATTGAAAATTTTGGTGCTTAGCACTTTGAGAACTCCTTGCTTAGTTTATATTTGTTTTCGCTATTGATATTCCTAAGCTTTTTTACTTCTAGATATTGTATCGTTTATATGATGTGTTAATAAAGTGTGACAAACTTGCAATAATAATGGTAACTTTCAGGTCGGAGAAAATGTGGATAATGTTTGCTATGGATCATTGATATGGTATTTGGAAAAAATCAGTTGCTGACTGCGTTGAAGTTCCTGTGTCATGTGTTTTAAGGTATAATCCTTTTATATTATTATGAGTATTAACTTAATGTTTTAATTACTGTTGTTCTTTCTGCTGTTCAAGGTAAAACCTTGATATTAATCAGCTACTTAATTCATTTTATTACAACAAATAAATGTGACTCCAAGCCAAAAATATAATTTTTGAAAAATTATTGAAATTTCCATGGAAAGAGATCCTTGCATTTCATTCTGATAAAAAAAGCCTTCCTTATGGTAAATAAGACGTGCAAGGGAAAATGTCTCATTCTCTGAGGAAATATGTTTAAAACTTATTGTATGTATTCAAAATTTTTAGATGATTTATAATTTAACATCAGTGAATGTTTATACCTTATTGTTCAATGATTACATGAACAAGAAAGTTATTCCAAAATTTTATTCCTGAAGTATATTTGAAAAATATTTTCCTTTATTGTGCTATTTTATTTAAATCTGTATATGTTTTGTAGCTGTGTCTTTCTTTTAAAAGAAATACTGCAATGTTAGTATTAATAGCATGCCATTTTTTTGTATTAACATTTTTTGACATGCATATTTTGTGTTTTAAGTTTCAAGGATGGAAGATTCTTGCTCAGAAGCTGTAGATTGCTTTGATAAGTGTTTTGTTCATGCAAATCAGTTTTATTAGTAAGAAATTGATGTTTTGAACAGTTTATTTTACATAGTTAATGCATTTTAAAACTTGCTTCCTCAGGTGTTTTATTAGTGTCTGACAAATTGGAATGGATGTTACATGTTGAATAGAATTGTTAGTGCATGCTTGTGAACAATTTGCATTTTCAAAGTCTCAAATCATAACAACATATTTTTAAAATCTTTAAACTTGCCAATTGATTCCCGCATTTAACTAGCAAGGCTATTTAGTTATTGTTTTTTTTTTGATTGCAGAATTGTTACTTATGATGTGCAGGCTGTAAAATACACAGGCAGTGGTATCTTAATTGCAAATCTTCAAGTCAATTTAATGATAGGGAAGACATGCAATTCATATAAGTAAAGTGTTATTTGTTGTAATGGAATTGTTACCATCTCATTTTAAAATTTTTATATTATGAGATTGCTTTTGGTGTTTCATTTATTAGAAGAAAATGTTGCATAATTGTTTATTTGCTTCAAGCAGGTGTTTTTATTTATTTCCTGTGATGTATGTAATTAAACAATGTATTTCAATATTTTTATTAAATATATTCAATTTCCTTGATTTTATAAACTTGTTTTTGTACTTCAAACCTTTTTGTTTCTTATTTAATTTTTGCATTATTCTGTTCTTTCTGTTTCACATTATTATCACAGTCTGATTGTAATGCAGTGTACATTTTGGGACTGTTTGAACTATTTAATCCTGAAATAATATATATCATAGATTTTAATAAAATTTGAACAATTTATCTGGATTTCAAATATTTGTGATCTGAATTAAAATCGTCAGTATTGCTGGAATGTTATTTAAGGGATTATGTGGTTGGTAGGTGTTTGATGGGGTAATCTAATTCGTACTTTTCAATTTTAAAACTGCTGCGATTTTCTCTTTCATATCCTGTGTAGAAGTGCTGCAACCACTTCTAGTTCAATGTCATGATTTTTATTGTTTTTTAAATTGTGTTTTCAAAGATCATTGTCTGACTGGATTTGTTCAGTGTACTATCACAGTTAAGATAGTGATAATTTCTGTGCTGAAGGACTGCTTCTCATTGTTCCCGTGTCCCACAGAAGGCTGAATTGAAGTCCCCCAATGAAGGAGATCTGGCAGATTATGTTTCTCATTTGATGTCTCAGAGATAAGATCTGTCACCCTGTCTTTATTGAAAGGTCAACTCCTGTGCCTAGTTACTACAGTCCTGATGTGAAAGGAATCCTCTGAATGCTGATAGGATGGTTGCTTGTGTGAAGTGTGTAAATTACAAATGTCAAGTTGTACCTGTTGAAGAGTGTGAACAAATCTAATTGTTTTTTTATTTTTTTATTTTCTGTACTTGAGATGGATGAAGTGCTGGTTCCAGTTATTAGCAGTGTAGGATTTGGTGTTGGAATGTAAATATCAAATTCATCTTACTCATTTCTACTAGCTGATGCCAGTAGTTATAAAATGTCATTTTTTGAAATATTTTATTTATTTTTTATTGAACCATAATATTATACATTGAAAAAGTACAAGTAGTTTCAGGGTATTGAAAAAAATGGCATTGATGCAAAGACACTTGTAAAAATATCCAGCCAACATATTTTCATTAGCAACAAAGGGGAGGAAAAAAAAAATTTAAAGGATGTTGCAGTTTATTATTAAATACCAACTTAAAAAGTTTTTATTGGCATTGCAGTACAACTTCAGCAGGTTACCTGTTGTGTGTAAGGTTGGAATTGTGTCATTTTAAGTAGATGTACTTCATTCTTCTTTGCTGTAATGCAAAATTATTCTTTTGTTTGGTTAGTGTTCTTGTTAAAGTGTACCCATTAAAAATACCTTACTAATCTTTTTGAGTTTTTTATTGCATGTAAATGGTTATGCCTCATGATATTTATCATGTATTGTATCATATAATACAAAGAAACGTGCATGTTTGCATGATTGCTTATGTTGTTGTAGAACTCGTAGGCCAAATTTATGTGTAGGGGTAGAACTATTATTATATTTCATATAAAAGGATATTATTTTAACTAACTACAAAAGAAATAACCATCTCATCAAACTTGTTACTTGAAAACTCAAAGACATTTTGTGCTGGTTTCAACAACTTTCCAGGTTTTTATTTATAAACTTGTACTACTGTTATTGCTGACCTAAAGAAAATATTTGCAGAGCTTCCTGGAAATTATGGACATTCCTAGATATTTGAAATTAGCTGAAGGAGTATTTTAAAAAAGAGATAAGAGGAAACATTTGAAATTATCATTCCATTTCTCTTTTTCTGCGTTTTCTAAATTAAAAAGGGGCTATTTCTATGTAATAGGCTATGTACATGCTGTTATAGTACTGTCTTGAATCATTTCTCATTAACTACAATATTACAAATTTTCAAACCGGTTTCAGAATATTGAGGTCTAAGGGAACAGCCATATTTTATTTTCTTACTGATGTGTTTTATTTAAAAAAACACAGAAGATCCTGTGGACCTACAGGGATTGGACAAAATAATATGAACTCCTGACATATGAGAGTACAAAATATTTATTAATAAGGTGTTCGGACACCATTGTTTTTAGTAGAACAGCAATTCGTCGCGGAACATATTTGTGGTGTTCAAATAGTTTCCAAGAGAATGTTCTCCCATTCTTGTTTCAAAACATCCGCCAATTGCTTTAACCATGTTGGAGCTGGAAATCTGTTCACCTGTGCTCTAAAACGCCCCCTAACAGATCAATTTATGACGAGGTCTGGCGATTGTGCTGGTCTGGGAAGATGTTTAATGATATTCTGATGCTCCGCAAACCACGCCTGAATCTTTTTTGCTGTGTATGGGTGCATTATTATCATGGAATATGAGTGTGTTTGGTGACAGTTGAAATTACACGCGCAACTTTTCTTGAACGATGGGTTGAAGAAATGTGGGTAGAATGGGCGTATTAGTTATGTAATCAGCCACTAGATTTTATGAAGCAATGCCAATCTCTGAAGAATCAGTCATGCCTTCGCAACTTTCTCAATAATTTGCGTCCTAACTTTCTCATGAGTTCGAGGTATCTCCTGTGAAGGGTCTCACCTGCTTCGGTCATTTCTTTAGATTTTTTGGAGAAAATTACGGGCAGAAGTCCTAGTCTTCAACAGAAAATAGTTTCTGTTTCGCGCCAGTGAAGATGTTTTTGAATGTCATCTGTGCTCGCTGCGATATTTTGTCTGCAACTTTTTATTGTGCCAGAGAGGGGGAAGCAAGGTCATCGTTGAAGAAAAATTGCGCGAGTAATAGTCACTGTAAGCACTTCACTGGTGCGGATGTCGAGATCCTCGGATCGAGATACTCATTCGCAGTAGTACTGTTTGTGAGGATAATGATAAAACCAGCTGAATGCCAGCCGCCCAAATCATAACGGAACCTCCCCTATGCTTGACTGTAAGAAACAGGCAGACCGGATCGTCGGCTTGTTTTGGGGTTCTCTCTACAGAGACCCGGCCGTTTGTGGGAAGCAAGGTAAACGATTCTTCGAAGAATACCACATTCTTCCAGTGAACTGTCCAGATTTTATGATCGTGCACCACTTCTTTCGAAGCTTTGCGTTGGCTTCCGTTATGAAGAGTTTCGCAATTGCAGCTCTTCCTATTGTTTTTGTGGAAACTAGTACTCAAGTGAGTGTGGAGTTCTGCAGTCGCTTTTGCGCGGTAGTTTTATGTTGCCTGGCCACAATCCTTTTTAATGTTCGTCGGTCCCTGACAGTTAACTTCGGCTTTCGCCCATTATTTCTCTTCGCCGATAATATTATATAGTGTTTTGTGTATGCTGTCATTAATGTGGACGCTCGTGATACATTTAAGAGTTTAGCTGTTTTCGTCAAAGATGCTCCCGCTAACGTTCACAAACGATTTGCCCTCTTTCGAAGTCTTGAGTGATCACACATTTCACCGTCGCAAGCCAATGCAGCCGCGTTGCTGAGTTTACTCGGCCGCAATGGCGCCAAAATGTAAAAAGAAGTGATATTTTTCTTGATGTTCAGTGGCGTCATCAGCTCAGTGAGCATGGGGATGTGATCAGAGTTTTACGGATTAAACAAATAAGGTACCAATTAAGGTATCTAATCAGCGTGTACCTTGCAATATACATACCTACTATACATTCTTTGAGAATTGCTAATTTTGCATTGCTTACTCTTGCAATAATAAAACAATAATATATAAAAGTACATTGAAACATGAGCAATACACAAAATTTTTTAATTACAGGTCGATTTGACGCTGGCTTCTAGCGAAGTTGAGAACTAAATAGAGTTTTTGAAACCTTTCGTAGAACATTGAGAGTTTTCACTCATTATTTCCTGCCTCATGTAACTCATCCGCTTCTACAAACGATGTACTCCCCATGTCATATATTTCCGCACGAAAATTGTTGGATTCTAATTATGACGCTACAGTTTCGAAACTGGTTTTTCGTTGCAGAAGTACATGTTCTACTCTACATCACAGTTTCAAGAAAACCTCGGCTACAACGCACAAAAACTTGGCAATAAACTAGTCGCGTACGGGAAGAGTTCTGTGTCAGTACCGATAACCCACGTCTCGTTGCATACCAAATCAACGTTGTGGATCAAGACTGTTGGCAAACATGCTTGCGCATGCGTATGTATAGTAGAGTGAAGACTATCCTTGAGAGGCGGCTATATAAAAATCGGACTATAATGTGGTCAAGACGTCCCCGCTCCCAACCCGCTACGGAGTCACAAGACGTCGACGTGACCACTGGGATTCCCAGTCCTATTGAAAAAAGAGGAGGTGCTCAAAGGAGGGGATAGCGAAGCTTTGGGAAAAAGGAATACAGAAGCGTTAATGGAAAGTCCAAGATGCAACAGTCGGCACCGAATCTCCATCGGCCGAAATCTCACGTCTTGCATACAGCACATGGTGCGGGTTCAATTACCTCCGTAACGAAGCGAAGTCGTGGAAAGAATGTTTCTGTGCCTGTCACATCCACGGAGGTGACACACGTACGGGATAGCGCGTAGAAAAAATGAAAGGTACAAACGGAACAGAGTGATAAACTCATAAGAATAGAAAAATATTTTCAACAAAATTCTTAAGAGAGTCGAAACACTTTGGATACTTCACACCGCTCGCATTCATTGAGCCTACGCCACTGATGATGTTCATATCAATTTATTCACCCTCTGTATTTTTGGATATCTGGATAAACGCTTATAAGCTACTATCTTACATACAGGGGAAAATGCTCATACGACAATGACATACACTGGGATTCGGGAGCCCAAATTAAGTCTTATAAGTAGGTTCATTTTTAACAAGGTTCTTCTGTAGTGCGTTAGCATGCCTCTAAGCTTTTTATCGTTATTAAGCAGTATATTGTGCCACAAACCTCTTGTATGATACATTGTCATTAGAATACAATAGTAGTAGTCCATTAGAATGTACTTTATACATCCATTTACGTTTCAAGACAGAAATTCTTTGTTGGAGAAGTAGAAAAAAGTCATTCTTTTAGAGACTATGGTTATTCCATTGTGTTCCTATCATGCCTTTGTAATGTATGGACATTCCCTAGAGCCTTTTAAAACCTAGAATATATTAATAACTCTCGCTGTTCATCTGGAGAAAAAAATCGGTGAAAGTTAGGGGAAAGCATAGAAAAAGCAGGGCTATTTTAGATTCTGAAGGGCCTGGGATCTGGGTGGATTTCCATTTCTTATGATATGCATTTGGTGAAATTATTAATTGCATTTTGAAAATCAATTGAACTCTTAAAAATTGAATTATTTGTAAATGACATGAACAGTTTCAAATTTATTATTTATATATTTAGAGTAAAAAACAATTCCGAATGCTTTGCCCCCCCCCCAAGAAAAGATAATGTTATGAATATAGTTGTATAAAATAATATGTAATAGAGGAACTGGTATAAATATGGGCTAGGGTCAATAATGTATTCACTCTCCACTAGAAGGATGACTTCATTTTCTCATAATGGGTGGAAGTGAGGTCGATTGAACACCAAAAACGTCAAATCTCAAATTCAGCACAATTGCTCGTTAGTAGCTTTTGAAAAAATTCAATAAGCATACATTGTACTTATTAATATGGTACTATTCCATCATGAGAATGTGAAGCTGTGGACATCAATAAACCTTTAAAATAGACAAGATAATTTAGATAAAAAGTCATAGAAAGTACTTTGATGTAACCCTTACTAGATGATGTTAATTTTTATTTTCATATTCAAGAAGGTTGTCAGTAATTGTCTTTGAGAATGAAGAGATATTTTTAATAAAAATAAGGTCAGTAATGTAATGCGTTTGTAGTAAGTTTTATTTGAAGACACTTTTATTTACCACATTTGCTGGAACAAACATAGGTTCAAATTATTACATTTCAGCATGCGAAAAAACTACTTCACAAATAACAAAAATATTTCTTTTAAGAATCACTGTGGCAACTTGCCCATCCATAACCCCCCAGTGGTCTTCTTCGGGGGCACGAAACGGCTTGACCACAGTCATTGCCTTGATTGAAGCCGATTGTGTTACAGTTATAATTTTATTATTTAGTATGTTTGACCGATAATGCATCAACATAATATCCCACCTATTGATGCTTAATATTTTAGTAAGTAAAGGGGATTGATGCTACAA